GAATGGTCAATCTGAGAAAAAAAAAGGGGACTTCCTCCATGGACTGATTGAAAGAAATATGTTTTTGAGTATATACTTGTTGTTGTTCGGTTTATATATGTATTTCTTTTTTCTTCATGTCTGTATCATATACATGCATGATTTTATTGTATCACATTGAATAAATTGAATTGAGTTGAATAGAATATCTCCCCCTTTGACACTTCCTATATAAATGACAACTGTCAAAAGGAGCTCACCTCGGCGGTTAGCGGTCGTTTATTGCCTTCAGCAAAATGACAAGGAACGGGGGCATCCATCAGAAAAACTTCCAGCGGCTACTTAGCGAACTTGAGCGCTGTATTGTGCTGGATGCACCCATTGTATTGAAACCCAAATATTTTTGTCAACAATACATTGTATATAGCCTCCTTTGCTCAAAAACAAACGCAATACAATTGTCCTTATTGAAATAACACATGGTATAACAAAAGACGGTTGTAAACGGCCCATTAGACAACCATATTGCACATATGGCGCTATTATTCAAAGTATTGGGTTGACTAAACATTTTTATTTGTTCTTCACTATTTTTAGAAAAATTACCGTTGAATTGTTCCCACAGCCATCTACTAGGAACTGAAGGGACCAAGAAGACATTGGTTTGTGATCGTTTTGGTATATAGGCACTATCTTACACAGATGTAAAGTAAATAGCAAACGCGAAAATAATAAAATACATTTCCGAAATGTTTACCAATTTTTGATAAACTTCCGGATTTAGCTCTTGTAGTAATTTCTAACTGACATCTTTTGGGTCGATATTCTATCTTTATTCCATGATAAACCTAGAAAACTGGAATAGCATGTGTGGATTCGTTTATAATGTCTGATTTATTCTGACCTAAGCCAGAAAAAAAAATTCTTCTCTTGTACTGAAGGTGTTTGAAAAGTCAAAAACCGCAAAGGAAACGTTACTCTGATATCGCGAAAACTAATTTAAGTTGTGGTTGTTTCTTATTTAGCACAAACCTACACAACGGACTGTTTGTGGAGAATAGTACAACAATACAATCTAACTATATGCCTCACTCTTCATCCTTTTTTAAGTGGAGTAGTAGAACAGTACAATAAGTGGAGTAGTAGAACAATAGTAGTAGTAGTAGAAGAATACAATAAGTGAAGTAGGAGAACAATAGCAGTAGTAGAACAATACAATAAGCGGAGTAGTAGAACAATAGTAGTAGTAGAACAGTACCATAAGTGGAGTAGTAGAACAATAGTAGTAGTAGAAGAATACAATAAGTGAAGTAGTAGAACAATCGTAGTAGTATAACAATACAATAAGTGAAGTAGTAGAACAATAGTAGTAGTAGAAGAATACAATAAGTGAAGTAGTAGAACAATAGTAGTAGTAGAACAATAGTTGTAGTAGAAGAATACAATAAATGGAGTAGTAGAACAATAGCTGTAGTAGAAGAATACAATAAGTGAAGTAGTAGAACAATAGTAGCAGTAGTAGAATACAATAATTGGAGTAGTAGAACAATAGTAGTAGTAGAATACAATAAGTGAAGTAGGAGAACAATAGTAGTAGAATACAATAATTGGAGTAGTAGAACAATAGTAGTAGTATAACAATACAATAAGTGGAGTAGTAGAACAATAGTAGTAGTAGAACAGTACCATAAGTGGAGTAGTAGAACAATAGTAGTAGTATAACAATACAATAAGGGAAGTAGCAGAAGAATATTAGTAGTAGAAGAGTACAATAAGTGAAGTAGTAGAACAACAGTGGTAGTAGAATACAATAAATGAAGTAGCAGAACAATAGTAGTAGAAGAATACAATAAATGGAGGAGTAGAACAATAGTAGTAGTAGAACAATACAATAAGTGGAGTAGTAGAACAATAGTAGTAGTAGTAGAATACAATAAGTGGAGTAGTAGAACAATACAATAAATGGAGTAGTAGAACAATAGTAGTAGTATAACAATACAATAAATGAAGTTTGAGTTCATAGACTAAAGGGAAAACAGCTGGTTAACAGCACCTGTCCCTATTTGTCTACTAATAGCCTAGAGGGAAAACAGCTGATAACAGCACCTGTTCCTATTTTTCTACTGATAGACTAAAGGGAATACAGCTGATTAACAGCACCTGTCCCTATTTTTCTACTGATAGACTAAAGGGAATACAGCTGATTAACAGCACCTGTCCCTATTTGTCTACTGATAGACTAAAGGGAATATAGCTGATTAACAGCACCTGTTCCTATTTTTCTACTGATAGACTAAAGGGAATATAGCTGATTAACAGCACCTGTTCCTATTTTTCTACTGATAGACTAAAGGAAATACAGCTGATTAACAGCACCTGTCCCTATTTTTCTACTGATAGACTAAAGGGAATACAGCTGATTAACAGCACATGTTCCTATTTTTCTACTGATAGACTAATGGTAAGGCAGCTGGTCAAAAGATATCGCCCCTAAGTTTGAGCTTATAGATTAAAGGTAATGCAGCTGGTTAACAGCACCTGCCCCTGTTTTTCTAATAACAAACTAAAGGGAAAGCAGCTGGTCAGCAGTACGCCCCGCGAGCTCTTTAGTCTACTCTTGTTTAACCAAATATTGGGATTTGACCGTTACTCTTATGGTGCACCCACAGTTTCAAAGTGTTTTATTATTATTATTATTATTATTATTACTGCAACCGGAGATGAGCCATGAAATTTCATATTCACAGATTGGGCATGCTAACCACAAGACAACGTCCGACCCGATAAACTATCGCGGTTGCAAATCTCATTAACAGTGTGAAAACAAAGGTGGAGAACGGTGGGAAGAGAAGTTTGAAAGATTAGAAACTGAAATAGAAACGTAAAATATCGTTCGATTTGTAAATATCCCTGGCAGAAAACAATCTATAAGCAGAAGCGGCCAAAATATCCTTTCAATCAAAGGATTTCTAGATAACCTGGCCGTCGTTAGACTAAAACAAGTGAATATCCCTCAATCAAAGGATATACATGTTCACCCGTTTTGGTCTTATCAAGGGTCACTTTATCTTTTTCTATACATCCTTTGATTGAGATGAACATCCTTCTATATCCATAAATACATGTGTGGTGACTGCAGTGCCATCTATAAGTAAAACATTGAACGACATTTTCTGTACCCATTCACGAGCGCATGGAAGTATCGCTTAGGTCAGGTAACATCTTCTCAATTCCAGTCAGTTCAGGGATCCGAAATCAATGATATGAAACTGAACATCCGATAACTCACTCGGGATTCACCATATAGGTACCACTAATTACAACCTTCAACTATTAATCAGAGAAAGGCTATACATGAAATAAATCTCTCCTCTTTTAAATATATCGATACATTTATTTTAAAGCAACTTTTTCAACAATCTTCTAATAACCAACTTTATATGTATATTGTTTATTTAAGAAATTGAATGTTTTTGTTTTTATTATTTATATTCTCTTCTTCTTTGGAACTGTTCTAGATAGTCAATAATATTAAAATGGTTTATTTAATGTATTAAATAACAAAAGTAATAGACCATCGAAACCACAATTATTTATTATTGCGAAATATGTTTGTTTTTATAAGGCAAACAAAATAACGACTTATATCTCCAGAGTGTTTCTTTATTAGCTCAATATTTCGCTATTACAGCTGTGTCAGGAATTATCGATATCCCACAAGTTCACAAATCGAGTTTCAACTATTTTATATAAAAACAAAAATCAAATTAAAAAAGAATTTAGTAAATCACACGAAGCCTTAAATAAGCCACTAAAGATAGTCAGAAGAATTACTAATCAAATATAATTTATAAAATCTGTTCTGAGTTTAGATCATCTCCGAAAGCTCATGAATGAATCTTACAGAATATATATACATATATATTAATATTTTTTATATTATTTAGTGTTTGATATTGTCAGAAAGATTTGTGATTTTTCACATTTTGATTTCAAAGTTCATATATAATTACTTATAATTATATAGTATAATGTTATTATCACTAAGCCATATAGTTTTAATTTTTAACTAGTTTCTCAATCATAATAAAATCTATCATGTGCCTGTCAGTTACATTATCATTTTATTAATACTAGAATCAAGACACACGGTAGTAGTTGTGCGGCCAAAACAACTTGCAGGATACACTTAGTTTACCGATATTCCATCTTCTATAACTCGGACTGTGGAAATCCAAACTATCATATATTTTCAGTGGATGTATTCTACTTGACTCTTACTTCACCTACAAAATTTCAAGGCAATCCATTAAGAAATACCTGAGATATAAAACTTCCAATTTTGATTGATTTTTTTTCATATTTTTTATTCTTCGCACCGAAAGTACGAAAACTTTATTTAATAGAAAAACATGTGGAACTTTTATGGACTTTTTTTCAAATTTGGTATACGGATAGACATTTATGACCTACAGTTAAGTGTTAAATTTAATCTCGATATAATACACAAAATCTTTGCGCACGTTTACGCATAAAGTCACGTGAGCTATCGGTCGGATATTTGTACTACAACTTGTGTTAAGAGTAAAAGTGGTCTTTATAATTTTTGTCATTCGGATTAAAGACAACCGATTTAAAGCAGCAAAACTATAAGGTGAAAGAATGTGCAGATACATACATAAGTATTGTTTAGGCCAAGCAAACTAGTTCATCAGTTTCTAGCTTAAGTTTTCAAACGAATCATTACATGTGAAAGGTTATTACTGATTATTCATTGCCAACTTTTAAGCACAATTTATTATAAATTTTATGAAATTATCCTAATTAAAGAGCGTTTAGCGTCACGTGATATTACCTTAAGCAATCACCGTAACTAATGATACTTGATGTGGCTGTACCAAGTGCATGCGGGTGATGACAAGAAACTGTTAATCTGGATTCCGTGGAGTTACTATAAAGGAAGTTATTAACACATTTTTAGAGAGGAAAACTTTCCACCATATATTTTAGAGAATCTGGTTGGTTCTGTAAATAATTGGTCTGTTCAGAATAATAGGGTTGCGATCCTAAAGCTAATGTTGGTTACTAACGAGTGTCACTTTCTTACTTGTTGTGGTTTGTTGGTGTGTATTGACAAAAAGTCATGATATCTAATCAAAAACACTTTAGGTGTGAAAAAAGGTGCGGTCAAAAAGGATTGAGCGTACGACTTAAAGGAATGAAATCAAAATTTGCAGCCAAACTGGTAGCTACACTTATAGCATTGATAAGAATGTTACAGTAAATATTTATTCATTCATTAGTTAGCTACGCCAGATATCTTGTTTTACCCACCATCATGCTCTAAGTTGAACAAAAAACGCGGCCTAGCTAACTAACGAATGAATATTTAGTGTAGAATTATCATCATTGCTATAAATGTAGCTACCAGTTTAACTGCCAATTTTGATTTCATTCCTTTAATTCGCACACTCAATCCTTTTTTGGCCGCACCTTTTTTTTTTCAGACCTAAAGTGTTTTTGATTAGATATATATATAGATATCCAGAAAAAATGGCATGATCACATGACAATACAATAGTTTTGTTCTGAATCGAAGTTTGAGTAATATTTTCTGGTTTCTTTATTGAACAATCATTGTTCATGGATCAGTATTATTTTATGATTTATTTACTAAACAATCATTATTCAGGGATCAGAGTTTGAGTAATATTTTCAGGTTTCTTTATTAAACAATCATTATTCATGGATCAAAGTCTTATTAATATTTTTAGGTTTCTCCATTAAACAATCAATATTTATGGATTGAAGTTTTAGTAATATTTTCAGGTTTCTTTATTAAGCAATCATTATTCAGGGATCAGAGTTTGAGTAATATTTACAAGTTTTTTATTAAACAATCGCTATTTTTGGATCAAAGTTTTGAACTGCAGGAAAATGTTTTAAGAATTCTTCACCAGAAGAATGATTTTCAGAAAATATTTTAATAGTCATCTCTTTGATAAAATAATGCATTTATTTTTTTAGATTTGTACAATAGACTGACCATTTATACTTTTTAGATAGATCTGCATAAAATCAAGTTAATTTATTGACTTGTGTGGTCAATTTCATTCGCCTATGATAATTTTTTAAATAACATAGCTACAGCTGTTGAATCTGCCAAGCCTTGTTAACAAAGCTCTCACAGATACTAATCTGCATGACCAGAGTTTTGACCAACAATGATAAAGGGTGCTCTTCAATCTCCACCTCTCTTTAACATTTTAGTCAATCTTGGAGAGCTGTTTATTTCTCTGAGATCCTCTTCTAGGATTTGGTCAAACATATCATCAATGGAATTTTCTGATAAGTCTATAGTGAACCCTGAAGGATTAAGCTTCCTGTGATAATCTTGATAACGGAAGTTTCGTCCATTTAATGCAGCCAGTGAACGTGCATCACTCATCTCATCAACATCCCCATCTAATACAGGATTAAAAAGCTCGTCCAGGTATTGATCAAGATCAGATGTTTGCGAAGGCACATGAACATTTCTGACATGAGAACTGAGTGAAAGTGTTTCAGATGTGTCTGAGATTTGATCATTTTGGCTGAAATGTGAATTGCTTGGTAAGAACTTTACATGTTCAGTAGTCGTATTGTTTAACAAGGTGTATGCTTGGTCAGGGTCTCTCATCCCGAAGGAGGATGGTAGAAGACTTTCAAGCTGTTTTTGACATGGACGATCTTTAACACTTGTTATCTGCCCTTGTCTGCCCTGCAAGCTGAAGCCACTCTTGTGACTGTCTGGAGGTCTTATTAGCCCTGACTGACTGAAGTAACGGTCATTCAATGCCGAAGATGTTAGTCCAAGTTGGTCCATCTTGTTTGAACTTTGCACAGCAGGATGTGGTTTTCCAGGTTGCCGTACTTTGGTTTCGATATATCGTTTGTTGAGTCTACTGGTTTCAGACAAAGGATCAAATTGGTCATTGTATTGAGGATTCAGTCTAATAGAATTAGCTAGTTCGTCTAGATGATCTCCATCTCCGCCTTTCGTATACCGTTGGTTTAGTTTGCTAGTTTTGGAAAGACTGTCTCTCGGGTCTTCTACAGCAGTTGGTTCTTCATATCGTTGGTTTAGTTTGCTAGTTTTTGAAAGACCATCTTTTGGATCTTCTACAGTGGCTGGTTGTTCATATCGTTGGTTTAGTTTGCTGGTTTTTGAAAGACTGTCTCTCGGGTCTTCTACAGTCGTTGGTTCTTCATATCGTTGATTTAGTTTGCTAGTTTTGGAAAGACCATCTTTTGGATCTTCTACAGTGGCTGGTTGTTCATATCGTTGGTTTAGTTTGCTAGTTTTTGAAAGACTATCTTTCAAATGTTTTGCAATGTTTTTTTGTTCATGCCGTTGGTTAAGTTTGTTAGGTTTTGATAAAGGGTTTCTCGTGTCCTCACTAGTGGTTGGCTTTTCATATCTTTGGTTTAATTTACTGGTTTTTGATAAGCTCTCTCTTGGATCTTCTTGATTTCCATACCATTGGTTGTTTGTGGATAATCCTATACTTTGAGAAGAAATTGATGCTACAGGTTCCTCGTACAGAACTACTTCCTCATTGTGAAAATGGCTCGTTTTTGACAAGGATATTTCTGACCCTAGAACCTCCATTGTAAGCTTACTGTAACTTCTCTTGGTTCCTTGAAATCCTGAAATATATCTCATATTTTACTCCTGAAAAACTGTCATGATTAAATCTATATCTTCATTATATTATACAACTGGTATATTTCCTTCAACAAGAAATGCTCAAAACACATTCCTAGAGTATATTTAGAAACGAAACTCCCCACTAACCTTCAGTCAATAAGTGTGTATTTAGTGCCGAACCTCACAACTAACATTCAATCAATAAGTGTATATCTAATGATAAAAACTCCCCACTAACCTTCCGTCAATAAGTGTATATCTAATGATAAAAACTCCCCACTAACCTTCAGTCAATTAATGTGTATTTAGTGCCGAACCTCACAACTAACCTTCAGTCAACAAGTGTATGTCTAATGATAAAAACTCCACACTAACCTTCAGTCAATTAGTGTGTATTTAGTGCCGAACCTCACAACTAAACTTCAGTCAGTAAGTGTATATCTAATGGCTAAACTTCCGACTAACCTTCAGTCATTTTGTGTATAGCTAGTGACAAAACTACCGCCTAACCTTTCGTAAGTTAGTAAAAACCTTAGAATGATAAATAACCAATTGTTTTCATTCATAACCACCTTTCCTCAGTAAACTTGGGGCTTATGACATTGAAATTCGGGGCTCAGTTCCCATGGCGGATAGTGCAGATATCTTATTGATTAGCCTTGTGCTAAAATAAATAAATATGACCACCTATCAGAACCACGCTTGAACTTCTGTATCTTTTCGAGGCTGGTTGGTGAATATTATAAGCCTATCGCTCCTGTTGTTTTACAAACCTTCTGGGGCTTCTATCTTATATGTTTTAAATTCTAAAAGTGTATATTTCACGTGACACATAAAATTTAAAACTGTAAACAGACCTTTTCCCCACTCACGTCGTCCAATTCGTCAGATATTAAAAATACATCTTGTACGTCTGGGACAACAATACGACTAAAAGTGACGGATATTAAACATATTACAGGAATAATAAACGACACAGATATAAATGGAATGCTTGTATTACATGATAATAGAACGAATGACTCAGCTCATTTTTAAAGATTATAAATACCGCAACAAGAAATGTCAATTATATTTAGAATATCCATTTAGATTATCCCTCAAAACGTATTATAAACATTCTACTTTCTCTTTACTTTTATTAATGGTATTTCAGTCTTATCATTTGGTACTTGTAATTTCCAGTATCAACTAGCGATTAGTTGATCTTTGATAACGGATTTTGAGTCTTGACAGGTAGGTTTGGCATTAGAATTATCTCAAGAATTCATCTGTCACACTGTTGCCAAGTCTGACTAATGTCATACTGCTACAAAGTCAGACTTTAATGTCACGCTGTTACAAAGTTTGACTTTTAATGTCACGCTGTTACCATGTCTAACTTTAATGTCACGCTGTTACCATGTCTAACTTTAATGTCACACTGTTACAAAGTCTGCCTCTGATGTCACAGTGTTACAAAGTCTTAGTTTAATGTCACACTGTTACCATGTCTAACTTTAATGTCACACTGTTAGAAAGTCTGCCTCTGATGTCACAGTGTTACAAAGTCTAAGTTTAATGTCACACTGTTACCATGTCTAACTTTAATGTCACACTGTTAGAAAGTCTGCCTCTGATGTCACAGTGTTACAAAGTCTAAGTTTAATGTCACACTGTTACCATGTCTAACTTTAATGTTACAGAGTCTGACTCTGATGTCACAGTGTTACAAAGTATGACTAAAGATTCCTTTATGCAATATACACGTATACCAAAGACCAATTTGTTATAGAAGGTACGGCGTGTTTGTGGGTCAGTGCCAGCTATGAAGGTACGGATTTATAACACGATAGCTGGCACTGACCGACCCGTAATCTCTGTAAAACTAACAGGATAGCTGGCACTGAACAACCCGTACCTTCTGTAAAACTAGCACGATAGCTAACACTGACCGACTCGTACCTTCTGTAACACTAACAGAATAGCTGGTACTGACCGACTCATACCGTCTGTAAAACTAGCACGATAGCCAGCACTGACCGACCCGTATTTCTGTAACACTAACTGGATATCTGACAACCCATGCTAGGTGGCCTCTATTCTATCTGTTCATGTTCTTTAAGTGTTTATTACCAGTAGCAATGTAACTAACAAATACAATAGGAACAAACATGTAAATACACGAAAAGCTGTATTCGAATTTTTATTACCTCTCTCTAATTTTATATTTGTAACAACAAACATGATCATTCAAACAAAGTTGTAACCACTTACCAAGAAATTTCGCTGCCGTACCTTATCCTTCTTCCAAACATAGAAATATACTTGTTCAGATTGAGTCTCAAGGGATTAGTCGTTACTTTTGGGATCATAAACGTTCCTACTGTCCAAAAATTCAACCGACCAGGTGATGACTTCGCTTAGACAAAAATCTAACCATAAAAACATTCGTTCATTACCAATCAAGTACTTTCCTTTGTTATCAGTCACCTGATCATTAGGAAACGATAGTCGCTCAGCAACTGGAACAGTTGTATATGATTGTCCAGGATTCAACGAAACAGTAAACAATGACACCTAGAAATCCAAAGTTCAGTTGATACAGCGTCCTTTGATAAGATCATGGTTGAACAGAACGTGTGAATAAACAGAATGATGTACACTATGGAAAAATAACTTCCGACCAAACTTACATTATAGGTATAGATTTTATTCCATCTTAGTACACCGTATATAATTATGCACGTGCCTACACACTCCGTGCCTACAAGGTAATGCTAAGTTGTTATTGTTTTGTTTTACATCAAACCAACATTGGACTATCTGCTCTGTCCACCACGGGATATTGAACCCCGAATCATTTAGCTTTGTAAGTCCGGAAACTGACCCATCAGGGGACTATAATGCCAAAACACGTGTGTTACATGATATTATCAAGGATACAGCTTGAAGTAATACTAAAACTCGCGTGTTACATGTTATTATAGAGGAAACAAAGTAGTGCTAAAACTCGTGTGTTACATGATATTATCGAGTTTATTCTTTCTCGTTACAAACTTTGTAATACACTTAATTTCCACAGTCATTTTAACTTTAACACACGCTATAATTCACAACGATTCACGCACTTTACTTACGGTCACTACCGCTCACTTGACTCAATTATCTGTCTCTATCTCTCTATCTGCAATTATATATGCCGTCACTCTTCTTCTCCGCTTTATTTGCCGGGCTTATATACAAAAATAGAGGGCGTCTGGCAAACACTAGAGTTGCCAGGAACAGTCATGATCCTTCTAGAAACTCATGACGTGTTACCAGAATCACGTGAGTTACGGTGTCGTAACAATATTATCAAGAATACAGAAGTGTGGGATGTAATAACCAGCTTGCAACTTTTGCTCACAATATAAATGACTTATAACATTACACTCGACCTCAGTGTTTTTTTTATTTTTATTATTATTCTCACAGTTCTCTTAGTTATTCCATTATGGATTATAAGTCAGAGGTGTGTAAAAAATAGCGTTTCAGATCTATCTTTTTGCTATCACAACTCACTGATACGTAGGCCTTTCGTTCAAGGGTTAAGTTGGGTTGGTCCTATGACAGTCAAAAGTATGTTTGAAAACAGACGCTATTTATTTTACAATATCCGGCAAGCCTTAGGCCTATAAAAGCCTCAGTTCGCCGCCATCCTAAACCTTTAACTCGGGTACGATTTGTTAAGCCGCTGCTTTTTGTTTTGTTTTTTATGTTTCCGTAGTTATACACACAATTCGCAATTGCTGTCGTCTTTCTTATGTAGGAAAATGTGTTTTATTTATTAATTATTTCAATAGAATGATTCTGAGATGTTTCTATTATTAGGAAAGTATTGTTTATTGAATTTTACGCCAAACTACTCGAGTGCTATCTTTGCTAGCCGTCCCATGTATAATTTAGAATTGATAGATTACAGGGAATGCAGCTGGTCAACACCACTCACCGCCAACTCTTGGCCTATTCTTTTTTTTATCAAAGAATGTGGGATTGACTTCACATTATTACGTTCCCATGGATGAAAAAGCGAGCATGTTCGATAAAGGGTTTCGATCCCGTGACCTGTAGATTATGATCGAGTGTGCTAAACACCACATTATGCCAAACCCTATTAAGAAGGACCATAATGTAGTTTTTCACGTAAAAACTGAATACGTCACAGAGTTTAACATACAAAACTGTGATAACTTTATGTATACATTTTATATATTGTTAAATAAGTGTAGATAGAGTACTATGTTTCCGTAAGTCAAACGAAATATCTATTGTATCCTCTATTACTGTGTACAGTATTTTAAGAATAAAATATTGCCTGATGTTAACATTATTCTAGAATCTAGATGTACATTTTGGAAAGTAAAAACAAGGTCAATCAGATTGTATTTGTTACGTCTCAGTTCGTTAGTTAATTTTCCGTAAATTCGT